TGTGTGTGTGTGTGTGTGTGTGTGTGTGTGTGTGTGTGTGTCCATAAATTCACTGGAGAGAGAGAGAGAGAGAGAGAGACCTATGGGATATTAATTTCTACCATGTTGGCTTGGGGAGCCTAATTTAGGTCATTATGCTAGGTATCAAATGATTTTTATTGCTAAGCCATCACACTTGGACCAAACATTTATTTTACTGTTTCAGTTTTTTTCATGCAGTCTGTTTAACTTCTCTTTTATTGAAGCCAAGTTACAGAGAAAATGGATTAAAAGTCTCTGACTGTATTGGAAAGAAGACTGAACAAAAAGTGATAGGGTACATGTTAATTTTTTCCTTAGACAAGAAGATGTCTAAGCAGTGTTTTAGTGGGTACATTTATTTTAGAAGGGATAAACTTGAGTCTGTAGTTAGTGTTGGACTACAATGCTGTCTACCCTCCTAATGGACATCAAGCATCTCCTACTGAATGGCACAATGACATCAGGATACACAGTAGTATTTTCTGGATCACAAAGCTTTCTCCTCACTCATCCACTGAATTCCTACCCTTGTCTATTACATGTTTCTTGGTATTCAACACTTTAAAACATTTTCAGAAGAAAGAAAGCTGACCTCCTGGATCTAGCACCCGGTTGTAATTTCAATTCTGAGTGAACACCCACTCAATCCTTTTGTCAGTAATCCTTGCCAAAGTTTTAATACAAAAGGTGAAGTCTCCCAAGGCTAGCCTCCTTCTTGGCAGGAGAACATCAAGGGCTGGAAAAATGCTTTGAAAAAGGAATGAAGTTATTCTCTCTCTCTCTCTCTTTTTTTTTTTTTTTCATTTTTACCAAATGAAGCTTTAGCTTTGCCAAGTGTGTCTTCAGTGTTTGGCCTGCTATGTCTAGTTGATAGACTGTTAAGCTCCTCTGAGACCTTTGCTACAATAGTTCCCATTAGAGAACAAGTTATTTACCCCTTATGATACCTCCCTAAGAATTCACACTCACACTCCTAGTCTGCTTCCAATGCTCAGCTCATTTCCCCATTTGGTTTGAGAATTTGGGTAAAATATACATGGCTATAATTTCCACTTAACTCTCTTCATTCTAATGTTAATCTTCACTTACGACTATCACATTTTCTACCTGAAAAATTATGTTACTTCTGACTCTATTTTATAATTTTGTTAAAGCATCCTTTAAATACCTCATTTACAATATATGTGTTTTGGGTATGCTCATATATATACTGACCGACCATAGGTTTCTTAGAGTTGTGTTGCTTCATTATATGAAACTTGTGTGAAGTCACAAGTAATTTGTCTTGGACAAACCCAGGGCTCATTTTTCTATCATCACCTTTATTTTCTTTATATTTTATTCTTACTTTTGACCTCCTCTTAATAACTTGAAGCACGAAAACTAAAAGACACAAAGACTGATAATGGGGTTCAAACTTCAATCTGAAGATCAGAAAAGCAAAGAATCCAGCCACTAGCTCTTACCTCTACCTCAGCTCAGACCAAAAGGGTGATCCTCAAACTGCTCCTGACTTCACTGCTCCTCAGATTCAGTCAGAATGCTATGCTCTCCTCAACATGGCTACAGACTGACTGCCTCTCTTTTTTATACCTCTCAAATCCTGGGATTAAGGGCATGAGCTGATGAACTCTCTGGTAGACCAGAGTGGTCCTGGAGTCAGATCCATCTGCCTTTTTCCTTCGTCCTGTGATTAAAGGTGTGTGCCACCGGGTGCTGGGAGGCCGAGGCAGGCAGATCTCTGTGAGTTCGAGACCAGCCTGGTCTACAAGAGCTAGTTCTAGGACAGCCTCCAAAGCTACAGAGATAGCTGTTCGAATCAGAAACAGGCACCCATAGCTAAGCACTGAACCATACTACTGGAATTCAGTTGTGGAGAGGGAGGAGGAATGAGCAAAGGAGCCAAGATGGTACTGGAGAGACCTGCAGAAACAGTGGACCTGACCTACTGTGAGCATGGAGACCCTAGTCATAAAGCTTCGGAAACAGCATTGGACCGAACCAAGGCCTCTGAATGCAGGTGCCAGCTAGGAGGCCAAGACAGTCTATGGGACCTCTAACAGAGGAGCCAGTCTTCAACCCTAGGGCACAAATGGACTTTGGGAGCCCATTCCCTAGGGAGGGATACTGTTGCAGCCCAGATACAACAAGGGGGGCTGGGCCCTCCCCCAAATGATATGACAGACTTTGAAGGTCCCGGGTGGAGGGCCTCACTGTCCCTGGGGAGGAATTTGGGAGATGGGTTGGGGGCTTGGTGGGAAACATGGAAGGATGGCAGGGTGAGGTAATGGCTGGGGATGAATGTGTAAATATGAGTGGTAATTAAAGAATTTAAAGAAAAAAAGAAAAACCAAAATAAATAAATAAAATAAAAGAATGTGCCACCACTGCGTAGTTTCTATAGCTAACTGGTGTGGCTGGCTTTGCAAACTGATCTCCAGCAGCTTTATTAAATCATAAACAATATACCACCACATATGTTACTCCATATAAATTATCATTATTTATTTCTCATAAAGATGATTGTTCAGGGCTGGAAAATGGATCAACAGTGAAGAGCACTGGGTTCACTTGCTCAGCACCCATGTGG